TTTTGTATTTAATCTGTACCTATCTGTATTTATGTTATCTGTATGCACCAAGGGTCTGAGAGTAACGGAATTTCAATTCTCTGTGTGTATGTGCTGTACATGTGGAGGAATTGACAATAAAGCAGACTTGACTTGACTTGACTTGTTACAAAAACTATATGTATTCATGTGTGGATCAGTGGTGCACCAAAAGTGGCTGCAAATTCAAGGTGAAATGTATCCAGGTGTTCCCAGAGAACTTCAACCGTTGAGTGACACACGGTGGTCATGCAGGTATTTGGCCTGTCGCAATTTAATGGACAGGTTGCCAGCAGTGGTACGAGTCCTAGAAGAAATAGCTGGGGAACAAACTGGGGAACGGTCAGTAGATGCACAAGGCCTTCTGTTCCAAATTGACCTGGAGTTTATTGCATTTCTAGCAACATTTAAAAAACTTCTTGGAGATGCAAAATTCCTTTCTGACATGCTCCAGTCTTCATGTCTTGATTTAGCAAAAGCAGTAGACCTAGTGGAGGCACTCATTTGCACATTTGAAAATTATAGAAATGAGAAGGTATTTGATGATGTCTGGACAACAGTTTTGAGTATTGCTGAGCAGTGTAATATCTGTATAGACACCATTCCCAAACGAAAGAGGAAGCTAAACTCTAAGCTAGAAGCAACCTGTGTCATGTCAACAGTAGGAAGTCAAGCAGCTCTGAACAGCAAAGAGTTTTTCAGAGCAGGGATATTTTACCAGGTTTTGGACATGATGCTAAATGAGCTGAGGACTAGATTTTCAGAACAAAATTGTGACATAGTGAGGGGTATCCAAGCTCTGAATCCTTCTAGTGAAACATTCTGTGAAAAGGATGTTCTGTTTCCATTTGCTAAGATGTATGGGTCTGATCTTGAAGACCTTGTACATGAGCTATACCAAATAAAGAGAATTTTGGATCGAAAGTTAAAACAGGAGATACAGAAACCATCCAGTATATTAGACCTTGCTGTTTTTGTTGAGCCTTTTAAGGATGTTTTCCAGGAATTCTTTAGGCTGTGTAAAATTGCAGTTCAAGTCAGTACTGCTGCATGTGAGCACAGCTTCTCCTGCCTAAAGCTTATCAAAACTCATCTCAGATGTAGCATGGCAGAAGACAGGTTGAGTGATCTGGGGATTCTATGCATAGAATGTAGAAGAGCAAAATCAATAAATCTTGATGAGTTTGTGGATATCTTTGCCAGAAATCACAAGAACCGTAGGATTCAGCTACTATAATTTAGAGACAAGTAAAATGCTCTGTCCCTTGAGTGAACTGTGTATAAAGTGCATGTTCACCTGTCAGAGTTCAGAGGTTTAGTACGAACATTTAGATTGTTCTTAAGACATGGGATAGTATGAATTCATGAGCAATTATTAATTTAGCATTTGGACACAGAAAATGGCTACAGTTTCTTATTTTACATACTTCATGTTGTTTGAGATATCTTTCCTAATGTTTCTATAATTTTTCAACATTTTTCTTTTTTGTAATGTTACTTGACTAATTAGAGTCCAAGAAGATTTTTGTTTACTGATTTTAAGCTTTTTGTCATTTTATTCTGCAATATTATTAGCATATATTATTAGCATATATATTGCTTTTTTGTATGCTTTGGAAATAAATGGCTAACTTTAAATTCACTGTGTACATTTGTAATCTATAAATTCTGTAGAATTTTTGTCTGTAAAACAGAACATGTAAAACATGGTCACAGTCAGATGTGTTTTTTTTTATTTATTTTTGTTTTGTTTTTGTGGCCACCCCAATAAAATCACTGGGTCTTACCTGGCCACCCCTGAAAATAAGTTCTGGCTACGCCCCTGCTTCTGCGTACCCCCTCTCTTCCTTTTAGACTGCACCTTTTCCATTAAAGGACAATATTTGCCCCCTAAATGGTCCATTCCAGCATTTTTTTAAATTATTTTAAATACAATATTAATAATGTTTTAAGTAAAAAAAAATTTCAATAGAGTAAAATGCAATGATGATAAAAAAAAGTTATTATTTTATAAAAAAAGATTATTTTAAATACTAAAAGCGCCAGTAGGAGGCGGTAAGTCACTAGGCGCGTTGCCATTACAGATTTGCACAAAACTTTGTCGATATTTTCTGAATGTCGATAAAAAAGTATTGCGAAATGACGGCGTTTCCATTAACCGATGTTATGTGGCTAAAACGTAACCTTTTGCCTCTCGCGATAAGTCATGGCAACGGATTTTGGTGGGATTTTGACGGATTTTGGCTATATTTATTCAAAGAAGGCTTATGTATGTATCTTTACAGAAGCAGCAAAGAGAGCCGCTTCAGAAACGTGTGTGGCGCGACTGGAATAAACCATAGACTGTATAAAAACATCAACACAAGCATTGAGTGGCCGTAATCAGCTTCGGTGACCGTATCAGAGCCACACTGCACCGCAGACATGTGCAATGTAAATTGTCTAAGTATTAATAGTAGGGAAAGCCCCTTATACTATCTCATATATATAGTTTTTTTTGTATACTTTGGAAATAACTAAATTCACTGTGTACATTTGTAATCTATACATTCTGTAGAATTTCTGTCTGTAAAACAGAACATGTAAAACATGGTCACAGTCAGATGTGTTTTTTTTTATTTATTTTTGTTTTGTTTTTGTGGCCACCCCAATAAAATCACTGGGTCTTACCTGGCCACCCCTGAAAATAAGTTCTGGCTACGCCCCTGCTTCTGCGTACCCCCTCTCTTCCTTTTAGACTGCACCTTTTCCATTAAAGGACAATATTTGCCCCCTAAATGGTCCATTCCAGCATTTTTTTAAATTATTTTAAATACAATATTAATAATGTTTTAAGTAAAAAAAAATTTCAATAGAGTAAAATGCAATGATGATAAAAAAGTTATTATTTTATAAAAAAAGATTATTTTAAATACTAAAAGCGCCAGTAGGAGGCGGTAAGTCACTAGGCGCGTTGCCATTACAGTAAATGTAAATATACACCCTGTATTTTTATTCCATAGTAAGGGCAATTCATACAATACATTTAAACTGAGCTACTTTAATGCCAACTCCGAACTTTCTACCATGACTCTGATGATGTTCTTCGGCTGGTTCTTCCCTGTATACGTTGATTGACAGATGTCTCGTCCAGTCAGCGGTGAGTAATCCCAAACCAATGGCACTGTCTCAAACTATACCTACCTTTTCGGGTTTGTCTGAATTGTCGTTGTGTTTTCTGACTTGTTAATTTGTTTTCAGATTTGTCGTTGTGTTTTCTGACTAATTTTGTTTTCGAATTTGTCATTGTGTTTTCTGACTTGTTATTTTGTTTTCGAATTTGTCATTGTGTTTTCTGACTTATAATGTTTTCTGAATTGTTGTTGTGTTTTCTGAATTGTTATTTTGTTGTTTAGACTTGCATTTGCGTTTGTAATTTGTTCTTTTGTTTTCAGAATTGTGATTTGTTCTGCACTTCTCGGTCACCGTATTATCCTGACCTGAGCTAATTTACTGAATCAACCAACTCACATCTCCTTTCTTTCTTTTCATCCATGATGACATTAAAGTCATCTGTTGCGTCTTCTGGCGTTTTATGGCTGACTGTGCCGCAATCGCGATACACGCTCATTAGAACTTTCAGTGAGCTATTTTTAGAGTGTGCACGCGACTACGTTCCTAGACGCGGACGCGTGCGTCTGTGTCCTGCTCCTCCATGGCGATGACGGCGTGCGGATTAAAAAATCATAACAGACGAATTTTGAAAAGTGGGGAAATTACGCCCCTGTACACACACACACACACACACAGTATACTGTATATATAACCAGGACACATAGTCATTGAGAAGGGAGTTGTTATATGATGCTGTTATTACATTGATTTGACAAGTGCTGTGTTGGTGATTGGACAGTCATGAATTATCAAAGCTATTTTAATCAGAAAGATATCAGTAGAGCACTGATTATGAAACTGGACAACACTCAACACATACATGAGAAGAAGGGCAGGTTCTTGGACTGTCCAATTCCAACTTGTATAAAATCAAACCTGCAGCAATCTTTTATCGGTATGATATTGATTTATATACTGTATCAGTCTGCCAAAAAATGTCCTCATAGTACATGTTTGCTTTTTGTACAGATTTATATATTTGCATCTGAATAGGTAAATACTAAAGAAAAATAAATTACTTTGTACATGTTGTGAACCATTTCTTTATTAATAACTGTTAAAAACTGTATAAAGAAGTGATAGGGAATCAAATGCTACACAGTATTAGTAGCTAAAGAATGTGTTTCATCTAAAAAGAGTTAATTAAATAAATAAATTGTTATTAGGAGCCTTCTACAATGCAGGCTACAGTAGCTTTTACTTCAGAGAGGAAGTAGAGAGGGTCTGAAATGGGAGCTATTCTGGTCTAGATCCACGTGCGGATTAAAAAATCATAACAGACGAATTTTGAAAAGTGGGGAAATTACGCCCCTGTACACACACACACACACACACACACAGTATACTGTATATATAACCAGGACACATAGTCATTGAGAAGGGAGTTGTTATATGATGCTGTTATTACATTGATTTGACAAGTGCTGTGTTGGTGATTGGACAGTCATGAATTATCAAAGCTATTTTAATCAGAAAGATATCAGTAGAGCACTGATTATGAAACTGGACAACACTCAACACATACATAAGAAGAAGGGCAGGTTCTTGGACTGTCCAATTCCAACTTGTATAAAATCAAACCTGCAGCAATCTTTAATCGGTATGATATTGATTTATATACTGTATCAGTCTGCCAAAAAATGTCCTCATAGTACATGTTTGCTTTTTGTACAGATTTATATATTTGCATCTGAATAGGTAAATACTAAAGAAAAATAAATTACTTTGTACATGTTGTGAACCATTTCTTTATTAATAACTGTTAAAAACTGTATAAAGAAGTGATAGGGAATCAAATGCTACACAGTATTAGTAGCTAAAGAATGTGTTTCATCTAAAAAGAGTTAATTAAATAAATAAATTGTTATTAGGAGCCTTCTACAATGCAGGCTACAGTAGCTTTTACTTCAGAGAGGAAGTAGAGAGGGTCTGAAATGGGAGCTATTCTGGTCTAGATCCACCTCACACACACGTGCAGTGAAACATATCTATAAGATACATATTAGAGGAGGGTCTACCACAGTACAAACTGGGTGTATAAAGCTCTGCATTGTGTGTGAAAGCATACTATCCACACTCAGACTGGCGGCATACATAGATTCATTTACATTCACACATTCTTGGGTGACATTCATACAAAGTGGTACATACAGTTGTTCAGTTAATTCATATGTACTACATAAACATACATATGCAGACACCATAGCTGTACCCTGCCAAATCAAAGATATTTCACCAGGGCCTCCACATCTTTAGACCTGAGAGGTGTGGGCTCTCCACATCATGTGGCATTCTCATGGGAGTAGAACACTGATTCTGAGACTGGGCGGACATCTCATACATGACAGGAGAAGGAGGGCAGGTTTTTGGACTCTCCAACTCAGCACGGAAACCAATGCAGTCGCAATGGTTAGAAGAAATACTTGTCTGGGAGTTCTTGGGTAGCTGAGGGCATTCCTTAGTTGATCGAGGTAGAGATTTGAGTAAGTGGTTGAGCAGACGAGACCCCAAGGTTTTGTCTATCCAGTCACAGGAAAGTAGAAGGTTGTGAACTTCCTGCATGCACTGGATATACCCAGTACTGTACCTCTGTTGGGCCTCTGCGTTCAGAATGGGTTCTGAGCGGAGAAAAAAAGATCACAGGAATTGGTTAAAATTCTTAATAATTAAACATCAACAATGAAATAAGTGAATCAGTGTAATTGATGTTGCTCTGTTTTGGTGATCTATATTGATGAAAAGTCGAGACATTACTTATGGCATCCTTTCCAGAAATGGCCAAAATTCTGATTTGAATTGTGAAATTTCACTTAATTACAATTTAATAAAACAAAACATGGAGAATAAAACACTGCTAAATAACTATGACCATTGCCCACTTTGAAAAATTTAATTTACTTACCAGAAACTCTACTGCTCTGGATATTCTGCAAATGTTTCACCGTCATATCAAGAATATCAGCCTTTTCTAACTTAGACTGCTGTTTTATGATAAAAAAAAAGAAAAAGAAAATCATGATGAGTCTGGTGGTACTAGTATAAGATTACTTGGTTTAAAGACTATATGTTGTAAATGCAAGAATGTAATTATAACCTTCAAACGGCATTTTAACTTACATCAAACCTAAAAGCTCCAACTACTGTCTCTCTCAGCTGATCTAGACAGTGATTTATTCTTTCCCTTCTCTTTCTCTCAATGAGGGGTTTCCGCAGCTGAAAAGACCAAAAGTCAGAAAACAAAAGTCTATGCATTTCCATAACATGCCCAAGATCATTTTGTAGGAATATTATACAGTACCTTTCTCTCCTCTTTGGCGCTAATGTGCCTTTGGCCTGCATTCTGCTGGAGGTTAGTAGCAGTCATCTCCAGTGTCTTCTGAGCAGTACAGAATGCGTTTCACTCACTCCTGTTTGAGTGTTAGGAGTTTCTAAGGCCCTCCGCGCTGTGCAAACGCTATATTTATAGGAGGGACATTAGCATCTCAATGCACAAGCTCTTTGCCTGAGATATTTTCCCACACGCTCACTCTTATCAGTCACAAATGAAAAGTCACCAGCTCTATTCAATGCATGAGCCCCCAAACACACACACACACACACACACACACACACACACACACACACACATAGGCCTACTCAAAGCAAACAACAGATGTCCAGCCTAGAGGCATTCCGCACAAAGAAACTACACGTTTTCACGTGTTTCACGTGTCATGTGAAAACCCAGGATGGTTTTCCAATTTGGCTCGGCATTCCCAGGATCTCATTAGTGTTCTGTTACAGTCAACCACCTGAGACCAAATGCGTATTCACGCCCTGTCCTTAACAGACCTAAGTGAAACCAAATCCAATCCCAAAGGTATACAGAGCCAGAACTCTGAAACAAATGATAATGAAATTTTGATTTGCAAAACAAATAAATAAAAAATAACAAATCAAACAAACAAAAAAAACCTACTAAACAAGTTGCATAAAATTACAAAATATAACACACAAGACAACCTTAATACATGCATTAATAAATGTTTGAAATGAACAGTCTAAGAAAAGTCTTAAGAAGCTTTTAGAAAAGAGAAATAGGTAGGCTAACAAGGCCATAAGTTGCATCACTTCACCCTCCAGCAGTGAATGTGAGCAGATGTCAGAGTGCTCTCGGCCATGGGCAGATGTCTGTGAATTAATCTCTGATCTGTTTGACTAGAGCCACGCGACTGCCAGCAGAGCATACAGACGTGGGAAACTCCACCGGACAAAACCGCTCATTGATCCAGGGCTAATGAGAGTGACCCGGTGTGGGGAGGAGGGGGAAGCGAATTGGGAAGTACCCAGTGCAGTGCTGTAGGCAGGTGCACTCTGTTTTCTCTCTGTGAAAGTGCGAAAAGTGCAAGTGTACATTGAGGCAGGTTAATCCAACAGCACATTTGCCATTGCTATTTTAGAATGCTAAACACATTTACGTTCACTATGGAAGAAAAATAATGACAAATGTCTTTGAAACAAAAAAGCATGTTGAATTGCACTAACTGAAAAAAATAATGCATTGTATTAAGAGTGCTTGCATTTTAATGTCTTGAATTTTCGGCACTTGCATTTTTTGGGTCTGAAATTCAACAGTTGTTTATTTAAGCTGTGAATATTTCAATTCAAAACATTTCACACTCATTTTCATAATTAAAAATTCATAATCACCTTCCAGAGTTCACTTCCGAAATAGTCAATCTGTTTAAAAATACGATGTATAATATTTGACAGGCAATTTTCAGTCCATTTTATTTCACTTTACAAATTCGCTTCCACAAATTCAGTGGTTAATATCAGACTATAGAATACCCTTAAAGGGACATTTGCCTTGTCCAAATGCCCACACTTGCAGTCTTTGCACTTGACCACTTGACTACTTATATGACGTATTTCCTGTATTTGGCCCAAGCGTTCAAGTGAGCATGAAGACCACAAGTGTGTGTACAACTTTTCATTACCTGATGGGATACACTTATAGTGTTGTAAAAATGCAAGCGTTAACAGAGTTTTGTTTTATTTTCAATACTTTGCATTTTAAAATCAACTTCTAAATGTCTGTTCAGTAACAGATGACACAATTTAATTTCTGGTGCTTCTAATTAAGTGATAAAAAGCAGTTGAAAATGTTGTACAAAATAAATATACTAATCTTTGCAGCAATAAAACGAGTAGCACTTTGCTTTTACTACCAAATTATATGTAATATCTTATTATTATTAATATTTAACTTACATTGGAAAGGTTTCCGTGACCTCTTGCGCAATCTTGGCAAAAAGTCTCACGATTTATTTCCAGAACATGATGTATGATGGGACACACCAAGCCTCTAATACTGCTCCGGAGCGGTATTCGAGATAGTGTGGATTTAGTGTGCGTTAAGGGCACTGCGCTTTGGCGTTTTTACGACCTGAGACCAGTGTGCGAACTCCTGTAAATCCTGTATAGTGATTTATCCTATATAGTGCTTGTATAAAGCAAGTAGTGCATACACTTGTAGCTGTTATGTATCTTTGTAAGTCATTGTAAGCCCTCTTTTGAGGCACGCGCAAGCGCACAAACACGCTTTACATGTTACCCTTGGGAGATATCATCAGGAAACATGGTGTTAGCTTTGCGTTAAGGGCACTGCGCTTTGGCGTTTTTACGACCTGAGACCAGTGTGCGAACTCCTGTAAATCCTGTATAGTGATTTATCCTATATAGTGCTTGTATAAAGCAAGTAGTGCATACACTTGTAGCTGTTATGTATCTTTGTAAGTCATTGTAAGCCCTCTTTTGAGGCACGCGCAAGCGCACAAACACGCTTTACATGTTACCCTTGGGAGATATCATCAGGAAACATGGTGTTAGCTTTCACTGTTATGCTGATGATACTCAGCTCTATATTTCTTCATGGCCCGGCGAAACATACCAATTGGAAAAACTAACGGAATGCATAGTCGATATAATAAGACTGGATGATGAGTAATTTCTTACTGCTAAATTCTGAAAAAACAGGTGTTAATTATAGGACCTAAAGCACGTAATAACCTAGAACACTGTCTAACACTTGATGGCTGCTCTGTCAATTCTTCGTCATCAGTTAGGAACCTAGGTGTGCTATTTGATAGCAGTCTTTCCTTTGAAAGCCACGTTTCCAGCATTTGTAAAACTGCATTTTTCCATCTAAAAAATTTATCTAAATTATGACCTATGCTCTCAATGTCAAATGCAGAAATGTTAATTAATGCATTCATGACCTCAAGGTTAGATTATTGTTACGCTTTATTGGATGGTTGTACTGCACGCTTAATAAACAAACTCCAGCTGGTCCAAAGTGCAGCAGCTAGAGTTCTTACTAGAACCAGGAAGTATGACCATATTAGCCCGGTTCTGTCAACACTGCACTGGGTCCCTGTTAAACATCGTATCGATTTTAAAATCTTGCTCATTACTTATTAAGCCCTGAATGGTTTAGCACCTCAGTATTTGAATGAGCTCTTATTGCATTATAGTCCTCCACGTCCACTGAGTTCTCAAAGCTCTGGCAATTTGATAATACCTAGAATATCAAAATCAACTGCGGGCAGCAGATCCTTCTATTTAGCGCCCAAACTTTGGAATAACCTACCTAACATTGTTCGGGAGGCAGACACACTCTGTCAGTTTAAATCTAGATTAAAGACCCATCTCTTGAACCTGGCTTACACACTTGACTGTGCACTTAACACATTTCTAATATTCAAATCCGTTAAATTTCTAGGCTGCATTAATTAGGACAAACGGAACCGGGAGCACTTCCCATAACACCCGATGTACTTGCTACATCGTTAGAAGAATGGCATCTACGCTAATATTAGTCTGTTTCCTTCTTATTCCGAGGTCACCGTAGCCACCAGATTCAGTCTGTATCCAGATCAGATGGTCACTGCAGTCACCCGGATCCAGTACGTATCCAGCCCAGATGGTGGATCAGCACCTAGAGAGGACCTCTACAGCCCTGAATGTCAGCGGAGATCAGAACTAGATGAGCCCCAGAGACAGATCCCCAGTGAGGGGAGTTGTATATATCGCAATGATATTACTCATATACAACTCTACAACTACACAAACTTAGTGCCGGTCATGTTGGAAGTTACCTAGCTGGGGACTATTTTCAGGTGCTGTGTAATATCATTGCGCCTGCTGCACCCATGGTACGGCAGCAAAGTTCCATGATTATTACACCGGAATGAGAGTATAGTTCCTAGCCATATCGGCCTAGAAAATCACAACTTTTAATTTTCCGCCAGTCTTAGTGCACGATGTAACTACAGAAGAGTCAAGTTTTAAATAGGAAAAATATCGAAACTCTTTGGTCATTTTTGAGTGAGATGCTAACGGTCTAATCAGATTCAATGATCTATGCTAAGCTGCAGCTAAGTGCGCTACCACCAGACCCGGAGATTTGCAGAATTGATTTGAAAACAGTAAAACTCAACTGTTTAACTCTAGGGGAGTTGGAAAATGAGCCTATTTTCAGAAATAGTGGCGTGTTCCTTTAAAGGGTAGTTGCATATATCGTAGAGACAACCAGTGTCTCTATGATATATGCAACTACCCTTTAAAAGTGCCTAGTTCAATTCACTCAAATAATAATTTACTTACCCTCATGCTGAAAGCTGATGGGGTCTAGAAGTTTCAAAAAGGACTGGTTGCATAAACCTAATCCTTAAATGCAGTGGTTTAATCCAAGTGTCTTCTGAAGTTTTATTTTGGACCAAATTTTAAAACTTTTTTTCAAGATTTTTTCCCCTAAATCATATTGAAATTAAAAAGGAGGGTTCAATGAAAACAACTTTAATAGTATTTCTATAAAATGGGCAAGACAGAGCAAAGCCTGTATTAAAAGTTTCAGTAAAATCAAAGGTCATCAATGTAACATACAGCAGCATGAGCGCACACACATACACTCTCAAAATAGGTTTACAGTTGCCCTTTCATGTTTGCATATTGCACCAAGGCATCGAGACACCCCCTAATATAGCACAAGGTGTAGGGCCAATGGATATTAAGAGTATAACCTGTTCTAGTATAAAATGAAATTTATTTGATAGACGCAGATCTTATTCTCTCATGTACCATAACAGCACAGGGAATGAACTCATAATTCTCTGGAATGTTGTTCCTAGAATCTTTGCATTGCTCTTAATAATTTCATTATATCACAGTACACAGTCCTTCTTCCCATTCACACATACAGATATTCAGTGTAAAAATAACATGCTCAGTGCATCTATACATCTCTAGTCACACAGCCAAAAAGAGAAGCAGCACTAGAGACAGCCTGTTATGTGTAGTAAAAAAAAAAACATTGATAATTACTCTCTGTGCTTTACAATATAGCATTAAACAGTGATTACTACTGTCTGAGCTGTCATTAGACAGTGGCTGTCATAACAGTTTAACCTCCCCTTTTTGGTCCTCTGAGTCTTTTGTGCAGATAGGTGAATAGGCATTTGAAATTGTGAGTTTTGATATGCAGGCATATAGTAAGCCCTTATAAATTTGTGAATTACTCTTAAAATAACAGGCACCAAAAATGAGCAACGGGTTTGGCTACAATGCTGTGCTTACGTATAGATTTGGGATATATTTTATGGCTAGCACCAAAGAACAAACTACATGAGCTTTGCTCAACACAGAGAGGAGAGGAGGGACGTTGAGGAAGGTCCTTCATCTACACAGCGTTTGTTCAAAGTGATCATCAATGAATATCTGTGTATGAAGCC